TGTCTCCTAGACCTTCATATTGTAATTTAAAAAATGTATAACTGATATTGTGTAACAGGAAGAAAAGGTCTAAAAGAGCAGGGGAATTGTGAGGGGTAGGGGAAGGGAAAAAAGGGAAAGGAAAAAATATGAGAAGAGGAAAAAAAATGGAAACAAAGTCTTTGCAAATAGGGAGGGGTAGAGGGTGTGGAGGGAGGGGTAGAGGGTGTGGAGGGAGGGCAAGGGAAGGGGAAAAAAATAAGAACCAAGGAACTCATGTAATGGTACAAGAGCCCAATGTTGAATGTAACTGTATTGTATACCGAGAATGTACCAATAAATTTAACGGGAAAAAAAGATAATATTGGCATCAACTTCTTTAATAGCTAATACCTTCCTTTTTTTTTTTTTTTACTAGGAGGGAAGACTAAAAGAAAGGAAGTAAATGTCTGGAGGTCAAATTCTACATTATGTGAGCTCTGCTCTGAGAAGCAGCACAGTGGTGGAAGGACCAAAATATTCATATTTTAACTTCATGTCAATCTCTTAATATTGATGTGGACTGAGTATGTTAATCAGAACTTTTGAGTCTCAGTCTCCTCATCTGGAAGATGGGGTTTATAATGTCCCTTATGAACTGGGATAATGGATGTGAGGGTTCAGGTACATTAGGCACCTGGAAGGCACTCATTAGACAGGTGGCCTTATTGATCTTCCTGAAGTCTCCTCCCCTCCTGCTGCTTCCATGGACTTCCTGAGGCCTTGGCCTTCCTCTGCAGGGGCGCCTCCTCTGCCCTCACCCATGGTATCCTGGCAGTCACAGCACTCCTGGGTGGTGGGGTGGGAGGCATTGCAACACTGCAGGCAGCGGCTGTCTTCCAGGTGCAGCAGCAGGGGGGCAGAGCACACGGTACAGTTCTTGGTGCCGGGTCCCTTGCATTCCATGCAGCTCTCATGGCATTTTTCACAGGTAAATTTCTCTCCCTGTCAAGAACAATGAGGATCCTTTTGAGTGCAGAGGGATTAACAAGGCACTGGAGTTCCCAAATAGGAATTTCATCTTGTCTCCATAAGGTAGGAGCCATGTGGCGGACTGCAGATACAGGGTGTGTTACGCGTTCATTTTCACTGTTCTGGGTGCAAGAACCAACTCTCTGATACTGGATGGACCCATGCCTGCCCCCGACCTTTGAGATCTGCAGTAGTTGGGGACAGGCTTCCAGCATAATTTCTTATTAAGTGACAGATTCTGTGCTCAGGGACAGCTCAGGTAGGAATTAGTTTTGTCTGGTCCACATGATACAGACTTTCACAGTTTTAAACATTCTGGATTCATTTCTCATATTTCAAAAGTGTTAAATTTCACATGTAATCAGTTTCTAGTTTCTCTTTAAAATCTAGAAGACCTGTTAATGCTGGAATCCTCACTCCCACATGGCAATGTCACCAACAGAGCTGAGTGGCATGACACCATTTTGATGCACTCCTATTTAATTCAACTCTAGCACTTACTATTATGTCACCAAGACACAGGTGACACATGAATTTCCACTGTCCACCAGGTGGGCTCTGTGATCCCCTCTCATCTAGCATCCTTTGCATTAGTTACCTGCTTAGCCTCTATGGTTGCTGGATTCTTGTGGCCAAGACCCAGGATGATATCAAAGGTGACTCTGTAGCTAAAGCAGCTAAATATCATTGGAAAGAGTCCAGAGATGAGAAAAAAAGTGGCTTCCCTCCTGACAAGTTGTTCCTTGCCTGGAGCTAGAAACCTGGGTTGGGGAAGATACCTTCCTATCCTACTGCTGTTAACTTTGGAAGATTGGTAAAATAGAAAAGGAAGAATGACTGGAATGGGCAGCTCAGTGGTAGCACACTTGCCTGGTATGTATGAGGCCAAAGATTTGATTCCCAGGACCATGATCAATCAATTTTTTTAAAAAAAAGGAATGGAAATTACATTGTTGAACATCTTGGCACATTACAGATGCTGACATGTTTTTTCAGCTGTTAATTAATCAAATTCTCTGTTTAGTTCTAGTTTTGTTACTACTTATGTGATTTTTTAGCAAATTATTTAAATTCTATGAGCCTCAGTTTCTCCAAACTGTAATGAGGGCTGGTATCAGAATTTAAAGCGAGCTTATATCTGGATATGCTAGTTTGAGTTCATTTCACCATGGATAGACTAACTCATTTGCTAAAGTTTGGAGACACAATTAAGAAATTAGTGGACTCAAAAAATCCATGGCTTTTAATGCAAACAGATGAATCCTTCTTAGTACACTGTGAAGAAGTGCAGGAAATGAAAGGGAAACACGTGTGGGATTCTTGCCTTATTCAGATGTTTCTGGTTAGACAGCACAGGGTCAAAGAGAAGACAGTTTGTACTCCTGAAATAACATTCTCATGTAGACTAAAACCTCTGGAATCATGAAAAACCGTGAAAGGGTTCATTCTGAGGCTCTCCTCACTCAATTGCCCCATTATTTATCTTAGATCTTCTCAATTCCTGTGAAGACTACAGTAAGGACAGCACTATTATTTCATTATTTTATGGGAAAAGATGTTAAAATGTTCTGTGGTGAACATTTTTAAACTATAGTGAATGTTGGAACTTTAAGGTGTTCTGATTGTCTCAAATGACATTCAGGAACTGAGTTTATGTTCCTTTCTAAAGGGGACGGGAGACAGCCAGTCCCAGCTCTCAGTACCTCTCCCATTCGGTATTTCCCCACAAAACAGTCCAAGGTGCACAGTCCTCCCATGAGGTGGTAGTTCCACACACAGGATAAGCAGTTCAACACTCCTTTTCCTGAAAGAAAAAACAATTCCAATTGTGAGACCAACCTCAGATTTCAACCTCTGGCTTGGTTCCAGAACACCCAGGAGCAAGGAGTATGCAGAGTGGGGCTGGGGATTTAGCTCAGTGGTTTCACCGCCTGCTGTACAAGCGCAAGGATCCAAGTTCGATCCCCAGTACCAAAAAAAACACAAAAAACAAAAAAAGGGAATATGTAGAGTAAATTGAAGAAGACATCAATAGAGGATTTAAAAAGTCTACAAGACAAAGTAAAGACTTACAAATTATCCCATTAGTCTACATAGACTCTCAGTCTGGAAATTGAGGATCTGGAGATCACAGATATTTTATAACAGCAAGAGAAGAAGTTTTCAGAGAATGAGAAGGTTTCTAAGGTTTCATGCAGAAAGGTTTCTAAGACCTTTCTTTGTGTTGATTACTATATAACTAGTGAGGAGGATGACAGCAGCTGGTGTGGAAGGTCCCAATCCCCAAGGGTAGGTCATGAGTTGAGAGTCCCTCACTGAGAAACAGCACTAGACTGGGATGTGAAGTTCTAAGGCTGAAAGAACTTGGCAGATCATTTTATCCAGTGATTCTTATCTCTGGGAGAGGTGATGGTAGTGATAGATTCTTTTGAAACTCTCTTAAAAGCTATGAACTCTCTTTTCAAGTTGCCATCTTTTTTACTTATTATTTTATAACTACAGAAACACTACTAGTAAGACTCAGACATGCAACGCCACTCATCCAAGATTACAGAGGCAGTGGTCAAATCAAGATACAAATTCAGGTTTGTTGACTCACAGTACAGTGCTTTTTCTACCACTCTTATCTGCCTAACTACTGAACCACCAAATAGGGAACCTCTGAATCTCTAGAACCTGTTCTGGGTGGAAACATCTCTCTCTCCTAATGCAGACATCCCAAGAATGAGTGACTCAAACATTTCCTTTGTGTTTACTGGAAAGGGTTGGGGACAGGAGACCTGAACACCAGTCCATTTTATGAGGAAGGCTCTGGCACTTCCCTGATAATTCAAAGCAGGAATGTGGGAGAGACTGGCATAGACTGTGCCCAGAATTGTTAAAACTTGATGTAGGTCTTGCCATCAGAACCACGCTATCAAGGGTGGTTAAACGAGCTTGACAAAGAACCATGAGTTCTATCTTTCATACTTACAAAAGAGTTAAACTGACTTTTATTGTCTGATCTGAGAGCTTAATCATTTTTGCTGTTTCTATTTCCCTTTTTGGTTTTTGTGACATTGGGAATTGAACCCAGGGACATTCTACCACTGAGGTACATGCCCAACCCTTTTTATATCTTATTATTTGGGGACACTCACTTGCTGAATTGCCCAGGTGGGACTTGAACTTGTGATCCTCTTGCTTCAGCCTAAGTGCTGGGATTATAGGTATGCACCATTATGCCTGGATGAACTTCATAATGTATAGTGTTTCTATGAAAAAATGAATTCTGAGCACTGAACATCTTAAAGAATAAACCATTAGGAATCAACTGCTTGTGAGGTAGGGGGCTGCTTGCAGTGGTATAGATCCACAGCTACTCCATTTTCATTTTAGCTCTAGCTTCACACAGAATTTCTGCATATTCTAGAACATAATTGTGGTCTCTGATGGAAGAATAAATCTTTTACCTCTTTCCTTTTCCCATCCCTCAATTTCTTAAAATAAAGCTTAGATGGCTTATTCCAAGTTTTAAATACAAGAAGTTTTATTTTTATAAAACTTTGTTTTTAATGAGGAGAAATTAAGGGCTTTTGAAATCTAAAACAATGGAATTCATAGAGTAGAATGCTGGTTAGCAGAGGCTGGAGAAATGGCAAGAACTGAGAAATATTGCTTCAAGGGGCACCACAGTTTCATGTAGACAGGAGGAATAAGTTTCTCAAGGTCATTTATTTTACAGCATGATGATTATAGATAATAACAAACCACTGTATATTTTAAAGTAGCTAAGAGTAAATTTTAAATGTTCTTATGACATAAAATGATAATTATTTGAAGTGATAGACATGTTAATTAGCGTAATTTAATCCTTCTACATTGTGTGTGTATCATAACATCACTTTGTATCCTATAAATATATGCAATTATAATTTGTCAATATACGGTAAAATAAAAGGCATTAAAAACCCCAGAGGGCATATTCTCCACCACTGAGTTACACCCCATCTTTTTATTTTGAATTAACACATAATAATTGTTTAAATTTATGGAGTACAACATGTTTTGACACTTTGTATGCTGTGTAATGATCAAATCAGGGTAATTAGCATATCCAACAACTCAAACATTTATTGTCTGAGAACTCAAAAGTTTTCTTTTCCAGCTGTTTAGAAATACGGATTATTATCAACTAACTCACAGTCACTGTGGAGAGGAAGGAACACTGGGAGCATATTCATCCGGGTAGTAACTGTAACAACCTCTCCCGACCCCCTCTTCACCCCTCCAGCTTGGCTAAGGCCCAGAGCCTATGGGTGAGCAGTGACTCCAATTACACACCCTATAGTGCTCTCCTGGAAACCTGCACACTTGGGACCCCAAATCTTTCAAAAAGGCAGGCTGCTAATTTTCACAATGTTTTCTCTTGCTTTCAAGTTTAAGACCCTACCTCTATTATTGCTTCTAAGAGCCTTGGGGTTTAAAAGACAGGCATTTTCACATTTCCTTAACATTTGGAATAGTTCACCACCTGCTCTCCCTGACTAAACCCCGTGGGATGAACTCAACAGATGCAGAGCAGCCCCTGGGGTGTCCGTGAGCATTAGCTCTGCTCAGAGAGGTCTCTTGGGGAAGTCAGGTGGCTTTGGGTCTACAACTTGGACTTTCATTTCAAATAATCTTTTGAAGAGGACAAATAAAAAGTTAAACATATGACTGCAAGGAAGAGCTGATTATGGACATAGCAGTTGCTTAAAAGCTACACATTAGGCAGGAGTGAGTTCTGCTTCTCCACTCTCGACAATCAGAGTGTTTCAATATATTTCTTTTTAGCATCCTAACATTAATTGGTAGTTAAAAGTGAATGAAATATAATTTATTTGGTACATGGCTTGCTTAGGTTTTTTTGCTTTTTGTTTTTGAGGCACTGGAGACTGAATCTAGGGAGCACTGAGCTACATTGCCAGCCCTTTTAATCTTTTTTTTTTTTTTTTTTTTTTTTGAGACAGGGTTTTGCTACATTTCTATGTTGCCCATGTGGAACTTGTACTTGCAAACTTCTTGCCTCAGCCTTCTGTGTAGCTGGGATTACAGGTGTTCACTACTGTGTCCAGCCCCAGTAAACTTTTCTTGATTCTTTCAAGCATTGTCATTTCTTAGTATGATTGCTAATGTTTTAAGAAAGATTTCATCCCTTAGTTTTTCAACTCAATTTACAGCCCAATAAAAAAATCCTCTTCTCAAATTTTATAAACTGTATGTTGTAACACCAGAAGACAGATCAAGATTCACTAACCAGCTGTCTTAGTTACTTTTCTCTTTTATGGGACAAAATACCCAACTCTCATAAGTTAAAGGAAGTTTAATCCTTACCACTGAAAAAAAAATACATAAATTCAGGTTCTGACATAACCCAATTGGTTCTAAACATATCAAAATTATAAAATAAACATACAAGTGTAAACAGAGCAAAGAAAATAAAAGGAATATATGGGCTAAAAAGATAAGATGAAATCTTTCGGAACAGAAAGGGGATATAAATACAAATTGGTTGTCAGGTTCAAGCACCCAGCTATGGCGCTCTGGGGCCAGAAGTAGGTAGTAGTGGCCGTGAGTTCGACTTTTCTTATCGTAGTAGAGATTCAAAGTGTTTCATGTGAGACCAGGGCCCAAATCCAGGTTTTGAATTTAAACCACGTGTCAAGGTAGGACTCCAATTTCACAGACAATGAGCTCCTGCATCCTGAGCGGGTCACTGGGGAGATCTGTGCTGTGATGAGCATCACCACCAGGAGCACTGGGCCCTCTGGTTTGGACAGAGTTTCAGGTGGGAAGCACAGGTAGGGTTAGGTTTTAAGATGAAGGAGGAGATAGAAGGAATAAGGAACCCAAAACGTCATCTTTCATTCACAATGAACTTAAGATCAGTGCTTCAAAATACATGGACAAAGCGAATGCTAAGATAAATAACAAGGGCTGTGCTGCAGCTCAATGGTAGAGCATTGGCCCAGCATGTGCAGTATTTGGGTTCCATCTCCAGCACCTCAAGAAAGAAAAAAAAAGATAACAAAACACAATTCTCAGAGCGTGAATTTACTTTAGATAATATTAATTTCATAGATAGGTTTGACAAAATCTTTAAAATCAGTATGTTTGAGATGCTCGAAAAATAAATGAAGGCATAATATCTACAAAATATTAAATTATGAAACAAACAGGAAAACATGAAATAAAAATAGATGAACTGGGCATGGTGGTACACGCCTGTAATTCCAGCACTCAGGAGGCTGAAGCAGGAGGATTGCCACAAGTTTGTGGCCAGCCTGAACTATATAGGGAGACCCTGTCTCAAAAAACAAACAAACAAATGATGATCATGAAATAGAAACAATTAGAAATGCCAATCAGTTGCCAAAAATTCAGAACTATGATAAAGACATTTAGAAGAGAAAACTGAGAATTGAACCCAGGGCCTTGCTCATTCTAGGCAAGTACTATCCCACTGAACTACATCCCCAGACCTTTGTATTTTACTCTGAGAAAGAGCCTCACTAAATTGCACTATCTGTCCTCTTTCCTCGGCCTTCTGAGTAGCTGGAATTAGAGGTATATGTCACCACAATCAGTTTAGGGGTCTTAAAAATATAGTGAGTTAAATTAAAACCAAAAACAACAACAAAAAGAGAGGTGAACTTTAAACTGTTAAACCCAGAAAGCAAATTAGGAAAATGGAAGAGTGCTAAAGAATCACTCTAGTAAAAATCATAGTCAAAAGAGATAAAAATATACAAGAATAGGTAGGAGCTATAGCAGACAGATCAAGAAACTCTAAATTACATTTCACAGGTATTCCAGAAAAAGAGATTTGAGGAAAGGGTGGAGAAGCAATATTTGAAAATGTACAAAAGGACAATTTATAAAAGGACACTAAGATTTGTTTCCTGTACATCCGCTCAACACTTATGAGCACTTCACCCTGTTGCACACTAGACTAGGAGCAGGGGGTACAAAATGAATGTGATAATAGCTCTTGCTTCCGCTTGAGGGACTCACAATTAGTAAGAGAGATGGACATTGGTGGCACACTCCTGTAATCTCAGTACACAGGAGGCTGAAGCAGGAGGATCATGGCAAATCTGAGGCCAGTCTGGACCACAGAGGAAGACCTTGCCTCAAACAAAACAAAAACAAAAAAGCAAAAAGAGAAAGAAAGATATGTTTAATGAAAATGTAATGTACACAGAGCTATGCAAAACACTGAATTATGGGATCAGGAAGGGGGGGAAGAAAACATCTAAAAGGACTAAGGCAAGCACAGAGAAGACATTCAAGCTGGACCCTGTAGGCTACCTAGAGCATCGTCCTCAGGACGGAAGACCGAAGTCAGGGAGAGCATGAAAGAGCAAGGTAGGTTTAATGGCTGCTGAGGTTCTGGGTAGTTCTAGGTGGTTCTTGGTTCTAGAATACAAGGAAGAAAGATTAAGACTGAACTTAAAGAGATTGAATGGAGAAAGATTTTGATCACCTTTAAAAATGGAAATCATTTACTGAAAGTTCATGGAAGAACTGTAAGTAAATAAGTCATGCTCATTGATGTGATGACTAGGGTCAGAAAGAGGGGCTGCCTCCACCAAAGTGAACGCTATGCAATGCCAAGCCATTGCCAAAGGAAATTGCCAAGTTCATTTTGAAAATAAGAACTGAAATGTACCCTACCATCCATTAATATTTATCAAGAAATCTGACCACTGTGATGCATACCTGTGATCTTAGCGACTCAGGAGGCTGAGGCAAGAGAATCAAAAGTTCAAGACTAGCCTGGGCAACTTAGAAAGAACCAATTCAGAAAGAAAAGGAAAGAAAGAAAGAAAGAAAGAAAGAAAGAAAGAAAGAAAGAAAGAGAGAGAGAGAGATGGAAAGAAAGAGAGAGAGAGAGATGGAAAGAAGGAAAGAAAGAAAGAAAGAAAGAA